TAAAATAAAATGGTCAATTTGCAAATGATTACCCTGATCTGGCTAACGAAATCTACAAATCAGCCTGTATTAGCAGACTTTGTTGGCCGAATCATCCGAGCATAAATCCCTCTAAAGGCTTTTGATTACGATTTGTTCGATATGTAGATAATAATGTTGTGATGATTGGGTTAATGTATTCTAATTTAGAGTTTTGTTGAAGTTTATCTCTATGTAGATACGTGAATCTGATCAAACTAGAACTTGAAACTTTGATCTAATTTATCTACATTGTCGCATAATTTCAGAACATACTTCTTCTTCAATTCAGACTATAGACTTACATGCCGTAGATATCTTTATTAAAAGTTAATCTGCACGCTTATTGGTTATGATGCATTAAAGCCAACTGTCTGGGACAATATTAATGTATTACAGAACGAGAAAAACAAGATTATAGTCTATTGGAAGGCACTAAAAGGTTGTTGAGTTGAAGAAAATAAACTGGCACAATATCTCTTCGAAAACGAAGCTTCCTTATTCCTTAAATTATGAGCAACCGTAACAACAGCCTGCTCAAATTTTTTGCGAATAGTCAGCATGGTGAAGGTAATCAATTATCTTGAAAAATGTAGGCAGCACCTCTCTTAACTGAAGGCGGCTTAGAAGAGGATGTGAAAGCCAGGATCCGAAAGAAAGCAAAACGGGCGTTCATTAACCTGAAACCAGTGTGGAGACTCTCTGCACTCAGCATAAAAACAGGACCCGGATTTTCAAAGCCAATTCAGTCAAGTCAGTGCTTCTATATGGTTCAGACACTTGGCGCGTTACGAAAGGCATTTACAACAGACTGCAGACATTCATCGATAACTGCATACGCTGGCTCGTTACTGAAGATCGGATGGCCAGAATAATAAGAATAAGCAACAAGAAACTCACTGTGGCTGGTAACGAACCAACGAAGCAAGAACCTATCACCCAACAAATATGCAGGAGAAGGAAGTGTAGATGGACTGGGCATGCACTGAGAAGACCATTAGAAGATATCACGTACAAGTCCAGGTGGTCGAGTGGAACCCAGCTAGGAAACGACCAGCTGGGCGTCCGAGGTGAGGGTGACATGGAGGAGGTCATGTGAGGAAGAAATGAGAGCTTCTGGGCTGTCGTGGAGCCAGGTTGAAAAGATTGTAGAGAAGAGAGTGGAATGGAGACATGCTACTGAAGCCGTATGTTCGACTAGGAACCCAAAGGATAAATCACCAATCATCATCATTTCTTTTCACAGCTTATAAATTAGAACTGGACAAATATCTAAGCTGTTCACTTTCAGTTTTTCAGTGAAAATCCACTAATTCCAATTTTCTGTCTTCATTTATGATTGATTACATGTAATTCAAGCTGCTATTATTTAGATAACAGTTAATATTCGTGAATATATATATATATATATATATATATATATATATATATATATATGTAAGTACATCTCAACAGTATAGTCGCTATTCTGCAGAAACATCAGTGTTTAAGAAGATAACTTGAAGTGAAATAACGGAGGGTTTTCGATGCGTTGACTTTCATTTGAGACGAGGTTAAGAAATAAAGCCAACTTCTCAAATAACAATGCAGGTGGAAAGTATATCCGTTATAATGACTCTGAGTCGTTGTCATCTTATGTGGATTCACTCCAAACAACTATTTTTGTTGGTGGTGTTAGATTCATAAAAAAAAGAACTTACTGTGATTAGAAGTAATAACTTTCCTCGATAATAATTTGAATTCTCCTTTTATACGTCATTTTTTGCTCCACATGTATTTTTCAATTGCACTACTCTTAAAAACGTTGTTTTCCTAATCAGTTTTTCTCAAAGGATGCTAACATTGTGAGTAGACGCATTCCCAGATTCACACTCTTCGATTGAAGTAAGTTCTCTTCAGTCCAGTACTGTCCTTTTCTTCTTCTTAGCCGAACGACCTACTGAGTATCATATCATCCTTTCAGCACTGAGATTACACTTTCCTAGTTAACTCTATTCAGAAATCTAATTGTATGCTACCATATGATATCCGCTATAACCTCACCTGGTTAACTAGTTCACTAGTTACTAGCCGGTCCTAAGCCCGGGTAAACAGGGAAGGTTGGTTATGGGGCTAGCAACCCTACCCCATAAAACAAATCTAACCACTAAAGAAACTTCAAAGCATAAACGATATATAAAAAATAATAACAAAATTATTCCTCGCTGGAATTGGAGAGGCGAAATGACGTTGGTTGGTGAAAGCCTTTGGGAAGACAATTGGCCGATGTGTCTTCTCTCGATGAAAGCGAAAGTAAATATGGGGACATGGAATGATACCCAGCCAACATCTCCAACGAAACAAGAACCTATCCCTCAACAAATATGCAGGAGAAGGAAGTGAAGATGGATTGGGCATACACTGAGAAAGCCGACTGGGGACATCATGCACTAGGTTAAGCCCTCGAGTGGAATCCCGATGGGAAGCGACGAGTTGGGTGTCCGAAGTGAGGGTGACATGGAGGAGATCATGCGAGGAGGAAATGAGAGCTTGTTGGTTGTCGTGGAGCCAGGTTCAAAAGATTTCAGAGAACAGAGTGAAAGGGAGACGTGCTACTGAAGCCGTATGTTCCATTAGGAACCCAAGGGAATAATAATAATAATAATAAATGTAATGTCCGCTGTACTGACTGATAGTCTATTCCAGAAGGAATAATATACTTCAGTGACCATTGCTGTTAAATGATCTGCAGCTAACTGATATGATACTTGGTTCTGAGAGGTTTTGCTGATTCGATAAACAAATATCAGACCAGGAAAACCTTTTAGTTGTTCGTTCATAACTACCTCTCAAAGTTATAGTCAGCATAATTGGTAGATTTTGAACACAGATTCCTTTTCTCTGAGATGATAATGAAACCTTCACTATAAAAACCACCTATTTATGGTATTACAGACACTGAAAGAAGAATGAATATGCTTTCGTGAATTTAGGGGAAATGATATACAAAAAACTGTTTAAGTGGTGATTGTTAAGTGATCTTATTCTTGGTTTGTTGTTTTTTTCTAAGTGAATGGATACAGTTTTATCTAAAGCCATAAAATAGACTGTCAAAGGAACTAATAAAAATTTTATCCATTAGTCCTAATTTATTTCGAAAAGGAGTAAAAAACTCTGGTTCAATAATAATGATAATAATAATATACGCAGTAGTCATAATGGAGCGTCTGTTAACCTTCACCTTCCACTCGGTAGTCTTGTAGCAATTACGCAGGTATTCTATTGTAATGGATTCATAATAAATTCATTAGGATGAATACTTAAGTCTCAGCTGATTGGTCAGTAAATTATAACACTTAATTAGCAAGCCATTTGGAGAGTGATCAGTTTCATATTATCTAGTCATAAGTTTGAATATATCCTGTTGATCATTTTGTAATATGTTTACTAGGCTAACAGATTCAGTATCATGATGGATTAAAGGTTTCGTGACTGTTGGAATTCATTATCAAGAGGCTTCTGAAAGTCAGCGTTATGCTGGCTGTGGTTCACCTCTTATAGGAGTGGACTAGGTGTATTGGTTGGCCATTGGAGGGTGATCAATTTCATGTTCTCTAGTCCTCAAGCCTGATGGAATTTTGTTGTTCATAGACTGAAATGTGATAACCAGGCTAGGAGGCGTTTTTCATTATTTTATTGTTTCTTCAACTGATGTCAGTTTACGATGAATAACAACTTGGAATAAATAATTCTTAATCAATCACAGGACTTTATTTAGTGGATCTTATTATATACCTCAGGTTTCCTTGAGTATTTATCTATTATACATCTTATAACTACTCAGTAGTTCTAGGTCAGAAACTTCATTAAAACATTGTCATCAACTATCAATAGCAGGTAATAACCAGTGAACTTCACTTGCCGCAAAAACCATAATTTTATGATTTGATTGAAGCTTTAAATAAGGAATACATATAGTTGATTTTATCAACTCAATTGAACATTGAACTTTAGGTGACCAGATAAAGTTATCAATGAATTTTTACCAATGACCTTACATAATTATTTATGGAAATTAGATTAGAAATTACTTTTGAATTAATGGAGAATATTTGTAGCTCAGGTGGATGGTCTTGGTTGTATTGTGTTCTCTGAGCTGGACTGTTTAATCGTGAAGCTTTCATCGTCCTTCTAGACGACATCATCAGCACTAATTTCTGTATGAAGTGGGCTGTCAGTGTCCTATCATGACTGATTTAGTAACTTGCCTTGAAGAAGTGGTTTGTGATTGGTTGTTTCCTTCGATTGTTGTATCATTGACTGTATAGATTTTCCTATTGGCTGCCTTTCTGCTTGACCTCTGAGCTTTCTGTCGTTTATCATCACCCAATCTATCAACCAATAAGAAAGATGATAAACAATAGAAAGATCAGAGGTCAAGCAGAAAGGCAGCCAATAGGAAAATCTATACAGTCAATGACACAACAATCGAAGGAAACAACCAATCACAGACCACTTCTTCAAGGCAAGTTACTAAATCACAGCTAACTTCCTACTGAAATCAGTGCTGATGATGTCATCTAGAAGGACGATCAAAGCTTCAGGATTAGACAACCCAACTTAGAGAACATAATACAACCAAGAAATTACTTTTCATAGATGACACAGGAGTTCATAGTCAAGTGTCATGAAAAATGCATATAAATTATAATGTGGAAAAAAAATAGTACTTAAATTCATGCCTTACTTGCTTCTTTGCACGTAAGGTACAATATATTTAAGTTCGTTTCTAAACGAATTAACTCTGATTTTCAAATCGAAATATACCATGAAATATGAAAACATTCAAGGAAGGAGAATAATATCTGAGAGTAAGGTGAATCATGTAAATGTTTACCTAGTGGTGAAATATCTGCTTCATGACAGATGTTAAATGTTTTCCAAACCTTTATTGTGGGAATGAGATAAAATAGATATCTACAATGTATTGCAAAGCATAGAACATGTTCTTTTTCTCTTGTTTCACTAAAATTTATCCACTAATCATTACAAAAAGTGATGTATATGACCCTCATCATATGAAAATCAAATTTTGATGCATGAAATAAACATCACTGCTTTAATCACAAGGTAAATATTCAGAGAAAACCTCTACCACATTTCATAAACTGAATATTTCAACTGAGAATCGACTATAGCCTTCAAAATCTACATATAAATGTTTAATTTCAATCTGAAATGTACTCTTATCACTTTCACTGAAAACACCTACAAAAAGTAGTATATATAACCGAAACCTGCTTTGAATTGTAGGTAATTTGTCTGTCGTCCTGATTGTGGTACTGAACGTCCTAATCGATAACCTATCTAGCAAGTATGTACGATTTCTTCTTTGGTTTCAGAAAATGTTCTGTCATGCTCAAAGACTTTAGTTGTGTTGTATCTTGTGAGCTGGATAGGATTCTTGGTATTCTTTACACCATCATCATCATCATCATCATCATCATCATCATCATCATCATCATCATCATCATCATCATCATCATCATCATCATCATCATCATCATCATCATCATCATCATCATCATCATCATCATCATCATCATCATCATCATCATCATCATCATCATCATCATCATCATCATCATCATCATCATCATCATCATCATCATCATCATCATCATCATCATCATCATCATCATCATCATCATCATCATCATCATCATCATCATCATCATCATCATCATCATCATCATCATCATCATCATCATCATCATCATCATCATCATCATCATCATCATCATCATCATCATCATCATCATCATCATCATCATCATCATCATCATCATCATCATCATCATCATCATCATCATCATCATCATCATGGTAGACTCCAGAAAGAAGTGAGCGATGAAAATTTCTTTACGAGCGGCTTAGTACTAGTCTGTCTTGATTATTCTTAGTGTGATTGGTTGTTTCTACTTAAACTTTTAACTAGGATTATTAACTACATCGCGACCGCCATTAGAGACATCATGACTAAGCAGTAAGACCCAGCAGATAATGCAGTAAACGTTCTCCTGTGTGACCAAACCAGAGGAAAACTAGACCCAGCTAAACAATGGAAATGAAACAACTCCTACTTACTTTAGGAATCAAGGAACATCGCAATAGTTTCGGTTGTCAAAGGGCTTAATGCAGTAGACAATGTGAAGACGATCACATAAAGAAACCGGAAGGCTTGCTTTGGGAAAAAAATCTCATATCAACCATTTGTGACAAGCTCTGTTTAAGATTCCAGGACTTACAAATTAAAAATGGAAAAATTCGATGTTTTTCGGTTTATTTTATGGTAGACGGAAAACATACAAACTTCACTCTCCTCAACAAGCAACTGTTCATTTCGAGGACTTCAGGATGCAGTCTAATTGAAGAATATCCAAGGAAACTGAAGCATCTGATACAACCATGCAACCAAAGAGAAATAAGCCAACAAATAAGCATTTCGTAGAGATTTTGATAAAAATCGACTGTTTCGGGAAAATCGAAAAACGGTATAGGCAATCTAACAACACACGAGCTCATTTGATTATCAAGATAGGGTACTAAATTACTCAAGGAGAAATTCTCATACCATACTTCTTCCTGAATTTCACAAGTAAACCATCCAGTTCAGAAAATACGACATCGTCGAAATCTCCGAACATGAAAGAACACTTTTTTGAATCAACGAAGAAATAGTACATACTTGCTGGATGATTGTCGATTAGGACACTCAGCACAACATTCAGGATGACAGACAAATTATCCATAATTCAAAGCAGGTGTTCGTTAAATATACTGGCTTTTGGAGGTGTTTAGAAAAAAGACTGATTGAACGAAGAAATGTGTTTCTTTTCAATTAGGTCTTCATCTTCGGCTCAACACTAATATATAGTGTATTTCTGAGATGAATGGAGGTTTTTAATTTTAGAAGTAGTATTCATCATGGATTGACATCAGTTGGGGAACCTTGAAAATCTTGGAGCACTGGACAGCTGAGGATTCCCATACTAGGATGAAACAGCTGTCCAGTGCTCCTAGATTTTCAATGGTTACCCAACTGATGTCACTCCATGATGAATACTACTTCTAAAATTAAAAATCCTCATTCATTTCAAAAATACGTTAGTGTACAGTGCTCATTAGTGACTTGCTTCCAGATGGATGTCAGGAAGCTCTAATGAGAAGCCGTGACCTGTGAAGTCAACCAGTTGGAAGTGAAGTGGATGCTAACTGAAGATCTTGGTTGACAGTCGCGCTATGTTGTGAATTGACAGGAGTTGGAAATTGTGAACCACTGGAAACCGACGCAGTGGCTGAATGGTTAACTCGTTCGCCGTGAAACCTGAAGAACCTGAGTTCGATCCCTAGCTGGGTGGTGGGTGCGTACTGCTGAGAAGTCCCATACTGGTTGGACGAAACAGGTGTCCAGTGCTCCCAGATTTCCAATGGTTCCCCAACTGATGTCAGTTCATGATGAATACTACTACTTATATATAGGTTTGCATTTTAATCAAAATACCAGTCAAGTAGTGTGGATTTTAAGTAAGTCATGAAGATGATATTTTAGAAATAATGATGTAAATAGTCACTGGAGTGATCGAAATAGGATACATGATGCAGGGTATTCTTGGGTAAATAGAGTGATTCTTGATGAGTGTTCAGTCGAACAATAAGTGATTGCGTAACAATAAGAAAACAAATGAGCAGTGATATAAACTAGAGGAGGGAGAGTTGTACAAAGTAATCCTAGAAGTAACATCACGTTGACTGCAGCGGTAATGAAAGTGGTCGAACAAACTTATTTTGAGTACAAAAATTAGCTTTATAAAGGTGGATTGCAATCACCTCTGCTATGTGAAGTGAGCAAGTGAGTAATCCATATGGTAAATGAATTGTAGTGTGATGAATAGTTTTGAAAGCTTTTCTAGTATCTACTGTATGTTTCGTGTCAACGAGATGTGCAATTATGGATCTCTTTATTGTTCTAATTTGCCCCTTGCTCAATCATGATGAGTCATGCTCAGAAATTCGACGATGGGCCTGCCTCGTTGTATGCTAAATGTAACTAGCTTTGCAGGTGTAGTTGAATTGATAAATGAATATAGAAGTAGCAGAATCAGACCATTTTTCTTTATTTGTTGCACCTAGAATCGTGCAGTTGTGGAAGATGGGACATAATTTAGCGGCTAAGAAGGTTTTGTGAAAGACACTTTTTAGGCGCTGTGTGATGATCTCACTGACAATGTCACTCTTGAATTTCAGCTTCAAGAATATTTGCTTCTAAAGAAATGTTGGCATTCTTGTCTTAACCCTCTTAATATTCATATGCTTAGTCACAAACTTGTCTAGGTAGCCATTCCTACCAAGCAGGTCATAGATGATGGCGCATTCTTCCTCTATAGCATAATCTGAGTAAATAGCTGTAGCACGGTATGCTGGGAGTTTCACCAGGTTTCTTTTGTACTGGAGGGGTACGGCATTAAAGAAGTGTGCGTAATAACCTATAGGTGTTGGCTTACTATATACACTTCGTTTCAGGGTACCATCTAACCTTCTTACCAGCAGGATATCAAGAAATATGAGATTGTCATTTCTCTCTTCTTCCATTGTGAAGGTGATTGCCAAATGAACACTACCAAACTTATTGAGAACAGTATTCTTTTGACCCTTACTTTTGAATACTATAAAGGTATTATCCATATAAAGACAATATAATTCTAACTTGATAATAGTATTGTTCAGCGAACAATTCTCTCCAGTGAATGTGATAAGATGTCAGACGATACCTGAATGAAGGATCCCAGGTTGAAATTGAGGATTCATGTATTGATTTTGAAGGCAGTAGTTAAATCCCAGATTGAATATTTACTTTATGGAAAATGGTAGAGGCCGTCATTGAATGTTTCCCTTGTGACTAAAGTAGGGAAGTTCATTTTAAGTGCAGAGATCCTATTTTCCTTTTAATGAGGATCACATCTGGCTTTCCTTAGTGGTCAGGGGATAAAGTTTGGTGATAAGAAGGAATCAGAAAGTCTCTTTTGCTGCTTGTTACAGACCTACACAGCAGTGTCTGCATTACAGCACGTTGCTGCCTCTTTGTTTTCTTTCCATGAGTAAAAAACCCATCACAGACATCCAAAATCTCAGTACTTATTCTTTATTTCATTAGGTTTAATGCACAAAATGGTAGTTTTCTTATTTAACAGTAATTACAAGCTACTGACTTCTTCTTGGTGTAATACTAAAGTGGTCCAATCGCCATTTACCAGCTAATGTACAACATATTGGTGTCAACGTTTAAGATTGTTATAGGTAAATCTCATCAGCCTCTGAATCCATCTACTGGACGTTGTCGGCTGTAATAATTAAGACTGCATTTCTACAGATCTACGCCATTGAAAACGGTCACTAGTCTCCTAATGGAAGGCTATGGGAATTGTCAATCTTGCCCTACTACAAAAGGAATAATGTGCTGGATAATCTGATAAGATATTCGCTAGGAGAATATGGAAATAAATTTGTCACTGTGGTCAACTTCAATATCAATTCCGATCTAACTGAGATGAAATATGAAGCCGGCGTTACTTATGTATATGGGTACTTTGAGAAGATAAATCGACAGAGTAAATTCACTCGTTCTTACCGGTTGAAATAAAAGATCATCTATGTTTTCTGTATGTTGATAGATTCAAAGTCAACTGAGCAGATGATATTTAAATGAGTGGTAATCATAAGTTCACTTGACATGTACAATAAGTACTAGCCATATTATATTAAATCATTGTTTCACTCTTAGTGAAACGGTGTCAGTTCGTTTGTTAGGTCTTGACTACTCATATTTCCTGTTAAGTTTTGCTCGAGTACGTCAAACGAAATATTTATCTTCCTTGAGTTATATTACTTAAATGAGTGACTTAATGGTAGCGTAATTACTGCATGAGCTGAACGTTAAGAGTTCGATCTGTACTGAGGTCATGAATGAAGCCAAATACAACCATAATACATACATTTGTAATTTCTAAACTCAGCTATTTTTAAATCTACAGTTCAATATAGAATCACCGTTGAAGATTTTAAGAAATCATCCACAATTTTCATCAGGAACAATCTTTTTCGCTGGTAAACTTGCTTCCAGTATATCTGTGGGATCGATTATTCTATTATGCATCAAAGATAAACCAAACATTTTGGACTGATTGTGGAGTAAGGTATTTTGGTCATACTGAGAGTATGCCTCCTAAGCGTCTTGTTCAACACATATCATCTACATTTTATCGGGGAGAAATATGATCTCCTAGTTCAATTTTACGAAAATTACTTGATTCTAGACATCAGAGGAACCTGTAGTCTAACCGTGGTTTCAGCAACATAGTAACTGGGAATCTCCTCCAGACTGTAGAAACCATGATGACCAATATTTTAGACTGTGGACTCTGCATACAAAATAATGTTTCTAATGTTTCAACTTGCCCTGTTTAGACATTTTACTTTTGAAAAATGTTTTCTTCAAGGTCATTACAACCCATTTACATCCTGATCAGTAGTATTTGGCGGTAGAATTTTGACCAAAAGTGGTTGATCATTTCGGTCCAAACTACCATGCAGACTTACAATATATGACATTGAGAAAACCTGTTATATCGCTCCATACAAAATAACTGTCTACCTAAAAAATGAGAGACATTGAGCAACATCCCTATAGGGTCGGGTGTAGAAGAACACTGGAACTCTTTAAAAGCTGTATGGAAAGAAGCCTGCATAACCGTACTAGGAAGGAAGAAGAAACAAGTCAGGACAAGGAATGGATCTCGACAGACACATGGAAGCTGACAGAGGAGGGAGAAG